ATCAAAAGATCATAGTCCCTCGATGACGCTTCAAATGTTGCCTTACAAATGATCTTAGTCCCTCAAGAGAAATGCTAAGATGTCTCACAATATTGCTATCCATGACTATGCGATGACCCACGCCCGTCCCTTCACATCCAATGATGGGGCTTCTTACCAAATCAATGGTAAGATAACAACATCCAAAGGAGGATGAAAAGAACACTAAAGATCTTTTGAGTAGGTAGGATGCTCCTAGTTTCTCGCTTGTTCACAACAAAAACATTTTATACACCCACACTTTCATTTTGAAACATTTTCAAAAGACAAACACTTTGTACGCGTTCTTATAGAGACGAGAACCATTACAAAGACACCTTTTCAAAATCACTTTTAAAAACAAATTCCACAAAAAATTCTTTGAACTATTTTCCAAAACAACACTTTGTACGCATTCTTATAGAGACGAGAACCATTACAAAGACGTTTTTCAAAATACTTTCAAAATCCACCACAAACACATTTTCAAACAAAGCAAGTGATCTAGCGAGCAACTAAGAGCCCATAGATAACTATGGATGAAAAGGGTGCTAACACCTTCCCTTTTCATAACCTACCCCCCGAACTCAAGAAATAATCTTGAAAGGTCTTTCTTGTTCTTTTCAACCTTTCCTTATTAGATAAAAGAAAAGTCGATAGCGACTCTTGCTATCCGCAACAATTGCGATCAAACGCAAACAAACCAAGTCAGTTCTCCCACCGTATTACAACAAGGTTATAATACAAAGACATGACATAGTCACTAAGATCTTCTTCTTCTTGTATGAACTTTCACTTGATTTGAGCTGATCAAGATTTCACCTGCAAGATCCATAATCGATCATCCTCTTCCACGACCTGTTTGTGAAATCACCCCGATTTCTAAACCCCTCGTTACGGCTAAATCTGACATGTGCAATCATGACTGACAAACCCCTAAGAACACACCCGTTCTTGAAGGACAAACTCTCTGGTTTTTCCTAGAAACCACCTTCTGAATCTTCAACTCAGCTAAGATCATCGATCATACCACTGAACGTGATCTCTAAGATCCCTTGATTCGATGACCAAAGATGATTATGTTTTGATGTTATTGAACCAAGGTGATTGAGAAGATGATGAAGATGAAGTATCTTTCAGGTTTCTAATGCTCATAAAATTTGATGCACACCAACTGTATTTGTGACACCTGTTTTTATTTAACTGCAAAAACATACTTATATATGTAACAGAAAAATGTTAGAGGCAAAAACCGCAGTATGAGTCGATGCAGATCTAAGATGAGTCGACTCATGTTAGTTACAAAACATGGCATGAGTCAATACAATGCATTATGTATCAATGCATAATGTTAGCAAGACATATTACAGAGAGACAAAATGTGTATGAGTCGATGCAAGTCATTATGTGTCGATACAACCTGTTTTCCACACTTAATCCAGAACCTTTAATTTCATATGAGTCGACATAAAATGCGAATCTGTTGATTCATATTGAGTTGATTTTGATTTCCAGAAAATAAGAAATGATATGTATCGATGCATGAGTTCATGTATCGATGCATAAAGGTCTTAAAATGTTTTCCAGAAGCATGAATATGACATGTATCGATGCATAGTGCGTATGAGTTGAATCATACTGAAGTAGAATTGTTTTTGTGATTCTTGCTTAAGTATGTGTCGATGCAAAGCTTATTGTATTAACCTGAAATCATGATACATGTGTAAAACACATTTTTGACCCTTTTTAAACATGTTATACTATTATCATATCATGCACACATAGAGATCAAACACAATAATCATTTATTAATACTTATCACACATATTTGCTATCATACAAAACTACTCAAAGAAAAGGGTTGCTCACAAGAACCTCTGTTGAACTTCCTCTATACCTCTCAATTCTGCAACTTCGAATTTGGTTCTAATGCATCTTTTAATTCTATTTCTTTGTTGATTCTTCATCCTTGAACTTAACTGAAGCTAACAGAAGAAGAATCAAGCATTGAGGTGCCATAAATCGTGCTAGCCAAGTCAAGTTTCAGAGCTCTGAACTTGAACTTCAACAGGTAGATTTCTCCGTCAATTCTCTCCAAACTTGTTACTACGATGTAGCTCTCATCACCATGATACTGATTGCATCATTAGTTTTAACTGGAAGTGAGTTTTACTCATGAATTTTCAAATCCCCTTCCAACTTTTTTCTTCTAGTTTTCTTCAAATCGACTGAGCTACAGTTTATATAAATTTTTCGCGAGGATACCATTGAAATCGTCTTGAAGAGACAAAGTGAATGACACTGGTGTGAGCTCCCGATTTTACATTTTATGAGACCTGCAATTTGCGCGTGGCTGGAGGTTGAAGATGACTAGCTTGTCATTTCTCAACCAATGACATGGTGCCACACATTTTTTTCAAAATCTGTTTTAAATAAATGATCTGGTGGTTTATTCACTAATGTCCATATCATGCACAACACGCCAGATTTCTTAGATTTGATTACTAACGCATTTTGACATTGATCCAATGGTCAACATCTTTTTGGTTTTATTTTTATTTTCTGATTTTATATTTTAATTGTTTTAAACTTCAAAAATTCTGAAAAAATTCTCAAAAATACTTTTGATTTTTCTCTTTCTTATTTCTATTTTTTCACAATTTTATTTTTTGATTTGATATGTTTTTATGATTTTTCACTTTATTTAACTTGTTTTAATTGTTTAAAAATACTTTTCTTGATTTTTAAAGTCTGGAAAAATTATGGAAGGATCCAATGACCTTTTGACAAATATTTGTGACCTTATTTTATTTTTATTTTTGACTTTACTATTTTCCACAAATTTTGATTTATTTTGCTTATTTCTTTAAATTTTAAAATAGTTTCTGACTTTACAAAATTCTGAATTTTTTTGTCAACACTTATTGACTCATGTTTGACCTCTGATTTTATTTAGGATTTTTATTTGGTACTTTAATATACTTTGTGTATTTTACCAATTATTTCCCTTTTATTAATCATTTAAATATTATTTTATTGAATATTATTTTATTATTTTTGTTTGGTCCTGATTTAGGTGTTATTTTGGGACAAGTTCCTCAACCTCATTGGATCTTGGGTGTTGATAGGTTTAAAATACAATTCCACCAAAATGGATTAATGATGTTGATGATATTTGAAATCCTAATTTCATCTGATACATCCCATCCCTCTTCATCTTATTCCTTTCTTACTTGTGCTACATGTTGTTGGAGAATAATCTACATATCATTTCTCTAACATGTGGTACATAGATTGCTATTGATCGACCTCAAAATAGGCGTGACTTCTACATAAGTCTCCTTAAGATTGCTTAACATAACGCTAAATTTGTCACGATTCGAAGAATGATCGTTCGTGGCCCAAACCTATGTTTGCAAGCCCAAGCATGTTTAATTTAAAACCTTTGATCCAATAACCTTGAGATTCATTGTTAGGAGGCTTTGATCTTATCAATCCTTTAATAAACTTTCATGAATTTTGGACTAAGTGAATCATTTAAACATCATTGATCATATATGCTTGCCTTGAGTACTTGAAATAAATGATATACTTGACAAAAAGCAAATGAAACTTGTTGTTAAGAAGCTTTGATATTATCAATCTTCTAATGAGTTTTCAAATGCAAGTTTTAAGATGGTCATTCAACTAACCTCTAACTTCTAATTCACTAACAATTGACTTTACTTTGTGTTTTTTTACTTTGTGCTTTTACTTTGAGCTTTTACTTTATGCCCTTTATTTTATGCCTTTACTTTTATGCACAATTTAATTTATGCTATTTTCATATTCGAACATTCAATTTGCAAACACACTTTCTTGTACATTCAATTTGCACAAATTGCTCTCAAGATTTTTCGAGTTAACCTCACAAGTTAATCAAACTTGTGATTGTTCGCCAAAAACACCTGGGAACAAACATACCCAATTTTTTCAGAAATCTGATATATTTGGTAATTTTTCACATTTTTTGAAAAACCAATAATTCATATTTGATAGGCCAAACAAATTTTAACACTACTGAATTTATAAAAAAAACCCGATATGTTTGTAGTTTTCCGACATATTTGAAAAAACCTATAAAAATCATATTTTTTCAAAAGTCTATGATTTTATATCAGATTTCATTGAAAATTCCAATGTAAAAAGTATGATTTTACATCGGTTTTTTCAAAAATCTGATATAAAATCATAAATTTTTGGAATAATATATGATTTCACATCCGCCTTTTCAAAAATCCGGTAAAAATTCATGTAATTTTCCATAAATTCGATAAAATTTTAGAAATTTCCTAAAAGTTCTGTAATCACGATTTAAAAAAAACATATAAGTATAATAGTTGTGGGGGTAGGATGTTAAATTCCAGGGATTTCTGATTCCATCTCATGCTTTTCTAGCGCACCACGTGAAATTCCAAAAATACTCCTAAAACCGAAAATATATTTCCAGTTCGCACCACACGCACATATAATTCATTTGTTTTAAGAACTGAAAATATTCTTTTGATTTATATCGGAAGTACATTTCCGATTTTACATATATGCAATTAAAAAAAAAAAACCTACCAGAAATATATTTTCGATTTATAATGGACAATTTCAAAATTGCAAAGAGTCTTTCTTTTAGATATAAGGTGAAATAAGAAATTTCCTAAATTTTCGATGCTTCACTTGTGTCCATCCCATACATCTGCTTCCTTGTAGGCCCATCGAGGTCAGTCGAAATACACTTATCCAGCCCAATTTGATTTTGTAATATGTGAGGGGCATTTGGGGAATAAAAAGTACTACAGAAAGAAAGAGAGTGAGATATAAAATGAACACAAACCCTAAGTAAAACCTAAACACTACTTGATCTTATCTGAGCAGAGAAGCCGCGGCACATTTTAAATCTTCAATCTCACTCTCGTCGGAGACGATGACGGCGGAGCCTCCGTTTTAAGATGACTCTGCCCCGTATCCATTCCGAGTATGAGATGGAGGTCGCTTTGCCGTCGAAACTCTGCGATGAAGACTGCCCGCGGTCAGAGCCCTTTTCGTATTTCGTTACGCTGGGGCAGTGATGGCCACGCGGGCTGTGCCCAAATATCATATTCCCTAATTTCTTTCTGTTTTTTTTTTTTTTTTGAATTAGAATTAGAATATACCGACACCTCTGTTTTGTTTCTTTTCTTAATTACGTAAATGCAATTTTGTTGCTCTTTTGTTTTGTCTTTGCAGGTTAACACGCTGTCCGGTGATTCTTAAGAGAGACCACTGGAATTTGCTACATAGGGCAAGTTTGCGTGCGTGCTCGCAAATTCATCTTCTTGGTTGCTTTAATCTCTGTCTCTGTCAAACTTTGTAAATTATGTATTGTAAGTTATATTTTCGTTACGATTTGTACCAATATTTTATCTAAATTGATTATTAAAAACTGCACTAAATCACCTATGTAAAATGATTCAAAAGGATGCATAATCTATAACCACTTTTAGGCGCAATTAGTTGAATGGGGAATGTTCATCCTTCCATACATTTTTATTAATCATTTACTCAACTACGAACATCGTCTCAATACAATTCATGAACTATTCATCAACTATGAACACACAAGTAGGACTGAAAATAAGTTGATTATTGGCTCGCTAGAATAAGAATTTGCTAATTACTTTTTTTAAGCTCTAACTTATTTCATTTTTAGTTTATGAACAACTTGTTGGGTTTAAGGTTTATTTTGCTCATTTGAGTTTTTTTTATTTGAAGACACTTAATAACTTATTTAAAATTATTTGGTTACTATTTTAGGAGTTGTGGACAACTTATGATTATAAGTCTTGATACTATTGGGACTTTGTGACTTTGTTATTCTAAAAAAAATGAGAATTCTACATTGACTCCTCCCTATGCATTTAAAAAAAAATCTTTTCTTAATCAAATCTTAACCAACTTAATCATATTTTGACATATTTTTGTGAGAAGACTTTAAAACATTTTTTAAAAGATTTGACTCTTGTTGATTCTTGTAGTGATGCGAGTGCAAAAGAAGGTGGCACATAGGTACTAAAGGTTCCTAACCACGGCGGGTGTAAAATTGTAAAAAGTATTTTTTTTCTCATTTTCACCATCTATTTTTGTATACACTATTTATATCCAAAATACATAAATTTTTAAAGAGGTTCATGCGGAGTACCGTAGATGTTTAGGATGCTAATTACAAAATATCTGACCCATCAAAATGCATGCTCTATGAGATTTCATTTTTTCACCATGCTCTCTCAAATTATTAGATTTGCCACATTTACCCTCTAACGGTCTCAAACTTCACAATGACCTCGCTACTTTTATTTCCTCACTTTATATAAACCTCTCCATTCAATCATTCAGGGGACGAACTCAACATCCTCTCAAAGTCAGATTTCTCATTTCTCTCGCTCTTCAAGACTTTTCTTCGAATCTCTTGAATTCGTTGCTCCATATATCAACTCTTACTCATTTCTACTCATTTGAAGCTTAAGAAAGAGGATCAACTAGGTTTCTTGCTTCTAGAATCAGGAGTTTAGTGAATTTATTTTTTACTTCGAGGTAAACTTTCATTGAACTTCAAACTCTCATACTAAGCTTGATTCAATGTTTATAAACTGCTTCATATGTTTGTAGTTGGCCAAACATTAGGTTTGATGTATTGGTTTTGTGTGTCGTGAGCTTGGATCTTGTTTTACAAGTTTTTGCAATTGTGTGCGTTTTTCGTTTTTCATTGACTTTCAGTCCAATTTTCTCCCTGATCTTACTTCGTTTGTGAAAATTAATAGTACCATTGTGTTCCTTGTTGTGAGATCTTGAACTTTGCTCTTTACACCATGCATTTTCATTAAGAGATGAGCAAGTTATAAGGATCTGAATGTTGCTTATGAATCTGTTTTACCATCGTGTTAGGGTTTAAATTCAAGTGGTAGGGATGAAGTGTTCTTTCTTCTGATTGGTTGTTGGATTGAACCTTTTGCAGTGCTTTCTTATCATGTTAGGTGTTATAGATCTAAATCTATTTTGAATTTTATTTTATTTCAATTGTTTTATCAATTTTTGTTTAAATATTTTTCTTCACTCAAAAATCACCAAAAAGATATTTTAGACTTTATTTTAAGTCTACTTTCTGTTAATAAATTTTATTTTATCATTTTTATTATTTTTATTAATTAATTAATTTGTGTACATTAATTAGTTATTTTATTCACTTTTTTTAATGTCTTGATTTTATTTTTTAATTTTCATTGATCTAAAAAATATCTAAAAATACTTTATGACTTCGTTGAGATGTTAGATTGATCTTGAGTTTTTTATCTCATTTTTATTATTGATTTCTATTTTGGTTTTAAAATTTGTCAAGTTTGAATATCATTTTGATAATTCCATTTGCTTATGCTAGGAGTTTGATTTAATTCTTTAATTTCCTCAACTTGTAAAAGTCAAAACCAATTGAATTAGGGTTCTTGGATGAGTTAAGATCATGAACATAATTATTTTTGAATTTTAAACCTTGATCTTACATTTTTCAAAAATTATTTTGTTAAACATCTCTAATTTGAGCACTTTGCTAACTAATATTAATGTTAGCACTTTAAAATCACATTTCTTTTTCAATCTAAGAACCATAAGCTTTGCTTCTGACTTTTATAAGTCCTTAGGGAGTTATAATTAATTTGGTTTGAATTTACAAGACCTCTTTCTATTTTGACCTAATTTTTGATTGAAATTGTCCATTGAGACTTGATTAAACTTCTTGCTTTTAATTTGCTAGCTTATGGAATATTTTGGGGCCGAGTTTTGGACACTTAGTAGTCCATGGATTCTTTTAGCATCACATTATATTGGAATAATTTAATTGATCGCTTTTAGTTATTGATGATCATTTTGTTTTGATTTCCTAATTGTCCAAGTTTTAAACCATAATTTGTGACTTTTGTGAATCCTTTGAGCCAATTCTTGCTATGATTGTGATTTCATTGAGGTTTAGAGATATGATAAACTCAAAGATAGACTTGTAATGGCTTGAGAGGTATTTGATCTCTCTTTGGATAATTTCTCATTTTATTTTGAGCTTGATCCTTTCTTATGTTTCCTTTAGGGGTGTTCAAATCCAAACCAATCCAAATAAAAAACCGAAAACCGACCCAAAAAACTGAAAACCATAAAAAACCGAAAGTTATTGGTTGTGTTTGGATGTTATTTTATGAAAACCGATAGGTTCGGATTGGATTTCGGATGAATTTTATTTTCATTCTCTTTTTCTCTTTCTTAAATGCTCAACAATAATGGAAATACATAGTTATTTTTATCCTGATTCGTTTGAACTCAAACTACTCCAGTCCACCCGCCAAAGTGATTTCGCCTTTCTCAACAATGACTTAATTCATTTCTTAAATGCTCAACAATAATGGAAATACATAGTTATTTTTATCCTGATTCGTTTGAACTCAAACTACTCCAGTCCACCAGCCAAAGTGATTTCGCCTTTCTCAACAATGACTTAATTCACTATAATCAACTGATTACAATCACACAACAACTGTTGTGACTAATAATACAATGCACAACTAAACTTACAAGTGACTAACACCACTAAGACTCAACTAGTCCCAGTCTTCTTGAGAAATCTGACCAAACTTGGTCTCTCAAGGAGCAATTACAAGAATGAAATTTTTACAGATAGTGAAACAAAAATGCTTCTTAAAAAGCTATATCACAAACTGTGATTTTTCACTAAGATTAGTTTTGTACAAGGTGTTTGTAAAATGATTTGTGATTTTAAGAATATTTTCACGTTGTTGGGCTGAGCTTCAGGTTTTGCTTGCAATAAATGATCTTCTATTTATATCATCAAGAAAATGACCATTGTTGCCTTCAAAAGTGGAGAGCATTAAATGTTTGCGTGTTTGCTTGCAGTATTGCGTTTTCCAATGAGCTAGCATAGACACTTAAGTGCATGTAGCCGTCTTTGCATTAAATGAGTAAACAGAACTTGTCAGAGCATGTTTCTTGAAACTTGACAAGACTTGTTAGCTTTTATATTCTCTCAGAACCAGCTTCACGTCTTGCTTCAGAATATGCTTGCCAATCTTCTTATCAGCGCTTGCTTTGTAAAATCTTCTGAACATGGTTAACATGGAAACTTGCTAGCGTTAGAAGATGCATAAATATTTTCTTATCAGAGTCAGCATCAGAACTTGCGCTAAAAACAAATAGTTCTTTCATCAAAGAATTTCTTCATTTATTTTCAGCTCAGCACATCAAAATGCTTCTCAGAACATTATTTGAAACAAATAAATATGTTCAGCAGAGTATCAATTATATAAAATATATTTATTGTTATCATCAAAACTCTGAGATATGATCAGAACCAATCTTGTTCTAACAAGAGGACCATGGTCCAATATCTTTGTGCTTAAGTATTGATCTTAACCTCTGTTCTCATCTCATTTCTCATGCTTCTTTGATACTTGGCTAATTACTCACTTGCTAACCAATATGGTGACATAAAAGAAGCCACATTCTCTTTTCTACTTATGTTTTGAGCATCATTGTCTAATGATATACTCATGAGATTTTGTGTCATGTCTCTTTAGTGTATCTTGATGTTGGCTATTCACCATAACATCTAAGAACATTAACTTTGATTTATTTAAATCACAATGCATGTGTTCATTAAGGGACTATACTTTGCCTATTTGTCCTGACACTTGAGTATGTTATTTTGTTGACATTTTCTTGAGTTTTTAAGTTCATGATTGATGTCCTGTGAGAGTTTCACCATCACCCTATGACATATAAGATATCATTTCACTCTTACTTGATCTTTATCAATCTTATTTGATCTAAGACAAGTATCATCCATCTCTGATGCTATTAGGTGACTTTTCTTGTGTATGAAGTTTCATCTTCTTACCTTTTTACTCTTGAATCTCATCTTGAGTTAACTTGTTATACAAGTCACACATTCCATAATTCTTCAACTATACATCCATCATTTGACCTCTGCTTGTTTAAATTGAACATTCTTATCTGTCCCCTTTGGCCACTTCCTTTGTGTGCTATGTGTCCAATTTTCTCCCTATGCTTGTGATGTTTGAATATGTGAAGTTAGAGGTCATTTTCTACTTACTTTTGTGTGTTGACACCTTCTAAACATTTTCACTCTTCATCTATCCATTTCTTGCACTTCACTTGCCTTTAGGGGGATGTTAGAGCGTGGTATCGACTTATTGTTGTATTAGATTTTGAATGTGCTTTAATGGTGATTCCTTAGGGATATTAGAGGTCATTGATATGTGTTATCATTATGTGTTTGCTTATGACTTCACGCTTACTTGA